GGCTGAACTTGACCTGATGAACCGAACCTTCGGCCGTGGTGCACTCGCTATATGCGATGCCTACGGCCTTCGGTCATCTCTCGGCCGAACTGAAAAAGACATCGACCATTTTCACTTAACTGAACTTAACATGAATAAACTTGTCGAATCAGACCTGAAAATACACCGAACGCATGCTGAACGTGCAAGGGCCGCGGCGAACGCCCGAGCGGCACCGACGGCTATGTGCCGTCCTTCGGCCGATCTTACATATTATCCGACAACTTCCGAACACCTCAGCATGATTATTAAACTGAAGTAATTTAAGGACTAATCACACGGAAGAACTTGATTAATACTGGAGTAACAAGCCTCGGCCCGCGGCTACCCGAAGCTATGCGCGATAGGCGCGGGGGCGCCGGCTGGGGCCATTTCATCGGCTTTTCTCCATTTTTACACGACAATACTCACTTGACTGAACATGGTTAAATGAATAGAGGCTAAATAAACGATAAATGCTCGGAACATGTCGGACTGAATAGAACATAAGTCGATTATGATTTTACTTAACCTAACCGGACCTAAGGCACGGCTTTCATCTGAAAATTCCGACAATTATCCGAACACTTAACTCTGAATTAACCTAATTAACAAGGCTATGAACTGAAGAGGAGTTTACCTTTCTGAACGCTCGACGAAAATCAAAATTAAAGCGTGGCTTCTTCTCGCCGTGCGGTACCAAGCTTATGCCGTGCGATTGTGGAGGAAATTTTGGGAGATTGGCTTGAACTTATTTGCTATGAAGTAGGCTACTATATGCTGAAGAGGATGATCAGATTTTTAAGGGGAAAAAGTGACAAAAATTGATCTAAGTCACCCCTTATATACAAACCGTGAGGATGGGCAATGATGATGGTGTTATATGTGGCTTAAGAGGAGCTTAACACTTGCTAGATAATTAGGCCCTTATTGATGACTAATACACATCCTTTAATTGCCACGTTTATCCTTAAAAAGTGGAAGAAATTTGATTTTCCTTCCTCTTAAGAAGCTACGGCTTTAATTGGGAAAATAATTCCTAAGACATGATTTTATTTCCATTAAGGAAAATTGAGTACGGCTTAGCACGTTGATGGTGATTAACTAATAATTAATCACTTATCTTATGTTTAATTATTCAATTAAACATAATACTTAATTACCAAAATTATTTCGGGCGTAAACGATACGCCGAAAATAGATTTCGGTAATTCCGACTGAACTTAATTAATTCCGAAAATAATAAACAATAATGTTACTATATCGGAATTAAACGTAATTTATACTGATAATATCTCGGGATATTACAACGTGAACCATGATCGTTACCTCATCTGCCGGCATAAACTAATGCCGGACACCATGTGCACACTCTAGTG